AGGTTGTAGCCATGTAGGTCTAAGGACATGGTCAGACAAGGTTCTTTGGGTGAATCTGATATCTTTTATTAGGGTTTTTGAACCAGAAAGCTTGCTTAAAAATTTTTTCTCCCCAACTATTTCAGTTGGTCTAAGAAAAGATATCAGATTCACCCAAAGATCCTTGTCTGAATATAGAAATAAATCTTTAGGAAGTGGGCTTAGGGCTCTGATTAATGTAACATATCCTAATGTTGTCTGAGATGCACTGTTGTGGAGAAAAAATATAAATATGTATAACGACATAAAGGTGGGTGGGAGTTTAGTGTTAGTGGAAGGTTTTCTGACTTATCTCACCGCTAAATTCCTTTATTTGGCTTTGAGTCAACAAATGAGATAAGCAGGTGCCTAATTTTCAGCACATGAGTAGTTCCATTGAAGTTAATGAGATTACTCATTTGCTTAGTGATAGACACATGCTCAAGTACACTACTAAATCAGCAACAGAGCAAGCTTCTGCATAGTTGACCACCATTTAGGCCTCAATACTAACTTACAGGCAAAGGTATGTTGGCAGAGCCCTCTAGTGGAGACACAGCACATGCTAGCAGAAGGATCTTTTTCTGCCAATATAGTTACACTCCCTCCACAAACACCCAATGGGTTTTTTTGGCACAGCTGTGCCTACCCCAGTAGTTTCACTGGTGCTGCTATGTAGGCTGTGGGTTGTGGTTTTTTTTTTCACACTCCTAGCCAAGACAGCTATTCCAGCAAAGCTGTGTAGTGATCCAGTGTAGAGCAAAGTATTAGGCTGAACTGGACGCATCCCCAATTTTCTTCCTGTATGCTCAGCCCCTTAAAGGTATATGGAACTGATGTTCCTTTGATCTTCCTATCCCGTGGTATTTGAGTAGCTTCCCTCCTTATGTTCATCATTTTCTTCGATGCATCTGGAAGCCAGTGTCTTCTGCAGTGCAACGTAGCACCCCAAACTTTGAGATTCATTTTTTGTCTTTTCTTAACGCACAACACTATCCTGGGTGTGGGATTAACCAGACAGTGTAAGGCAGGGTAACCATACCCTAAGGTAATGCACAAGACCGTTTTGAGAAACCATAGCAAACTGACTTCCTGCATCTGGCGCAAGTGGAGTGATTTAGCCCAGTAGTAGTGGCTCTGTAAATAACACAATACTGGAAATACCCAAAGAGTGCATGTTTTACAACCTCTTATTTTGCTTTCCTCCTGATATCCCTTGAATAAGCAGTCATTTCCCAGTAATTAATTAAGGAAACCAGGAAGCTGAATCTCTGCAGATAATTAGCAAGCTGTATTATATTAGGGGCAACAGGAAGTACTTCATTATCTGCAGCCATTACAGTCCTGTTCATCTCCCCAGCATTTACTTTTTAAGCAAATGTTATGTTGGCAAAAGGCATGGGATTAATAGCACCGTAAACTGATCCTTCAGCTGGCTGCAGAATTAAGCAGAAATCAATGATGCCTTTAAAATGAAACCCAGAGTGGAATATGTTATTGAACAAAGGTATGGCCCAGATTTGTGACCCTGTAGGACAGTGATGCCAACCTTTTTGGCAGTTATACCACAAATTAAGCCCTGTGTGCTTCTTGAGTGCCACTCCAACCCGCTTCCCCTACTTGATCCACCACTCTGCTCTTTGCTTCCTGCCCTGTGCTCCCCACCTCATCGCTGCTCTGCTTTCTGCTCCCTGTCATCTTCTGCCTACCCCTTCCCTGATCTGCCATGTTACACACACGCAGGCTGTCCATGCCACTTGTAGCATGGGTACTGCAGGTTGCCACCCCTCTGCTGTAGGGTGATATTATCACCATAGAGTTTGCCTGGATGATTAGCAACGGTGCAGGAAGAAAATTGGGTCCAACAGTTGTCCCAGTGCAGTAACTCCATAGCAGGCAAAGCTGTCAGTAACCTCCTAAGGATTGGTAAGCATCACAGCACCTGACAACTGCAACACACACCTCTGTCACACAGGTTTTTTAAAATCCTATCAAAAGACAACATGGAAGAGCAGATTGTTCACTATTTGAGGACCACGCATATAGTATGGAAAGGCTTAAGTTTTTTGCTATCAGTACATTCTCCGAGATCTCAACTGTATGCCTAATGTAGCCATTTCCCATTTGTGGACTTCCCCCCAGCCCCTCTTTCTCTTCCTTTTACTCTCCCTGTCTTATAGCAGTTGTTTGGATGATGTATCTGTCAGAACTATTTTGAACTTAAAAGAATATCTTTTTGCATCAATGGGAAGTCCTAGGAGCCTTTGTGCTGCATAACCTTCAATTCAAGATGAAATAGTTTTAATAGAGTCTTTGTAAGACGTTACTGAGACATTACAAACTTCCTGCCTTACATTATTTTTACTAAGGCTTGCAAAAAAACAATTCAGCCCACAACCAGCCTTGGCTGTTTTCAAGGGAAAACATTGTGTTTACTCATTTTAGTAACAAAATCATTTATAAAGACAGGCTGTGAAGGCTGCTGAAGTGATTGGCACTTCCACTAATAATGCAGTCATCACATTCCTTCTAAACTTTTAAGTGTCAGTTCACAAATAAAAAAAAATCAATTAGTCTGATTGAATTTATTAAGGAAATGTTTAACCACTTTTCTAATACTACTTAGCTTTTTTCTAGTGCCTTCCATTTAAGGGTATCAAAGCTACTCACTAATATGAATTAAATCGCACAACGGAAAGTTTCATCCTCTATTTAGAGGTACAGAAAACTAAAGCAAAGATACTTTTGTGACTGAAGCATTTACCAGGTACTCGGAACATTTGGGTTTAAAGCCTGGCTCTGCCCAGCCTCCTCTCTGAGTTTGGGTAGTTATATCATCTCTCCAAACTTTGGTTAATTGTCTGTAAAATTGGAAGTAATATATCCTTTGCCTTCCCAGTTGTCTGCCTTGTCTACTTAAACCACAAGCTTCTGAGAGACAGGAGCAGCATTTTGCTGTCATTGTCTCATGTCTGGTGTAATAGGCTCCATATCTTGGTTGAGACTTTTGTGTGCTACTGCAAAGCCAATAATAAAAAGTATGATCAGTGAATGGTAGATTGTGTATTCTTCACAGCAGGGACTGCGTCTTCATCTGGGTTGTGCTGGCAGGTTTGCTCAATTAGCAGCATCCAGAGGGGAAGGTACCTCCTGTGTCAGAAGAACCAAGGGAGTTCGGCAGGGAAAGACCAGGACAGGTCTGGGAACAGCTGTGCTCAGGAAGGAAGACAGTGTGTAAGACCAGCTTTCAAGGAGGGATTGGTGTTGAAGCAGTAGTCTGTGGCCACTGTAGTCAATGGAAAGATTCCTTTTGGCTTCACCGAGCAGTGGATTTGGTCCTACCTCACGATATATATGCTTTAACTCCATTAATATTACAGCAGAAAGAATTTGGCCTGGTGTGTATAAATGTACTCAATTCCTTGCTGGTTTCCTCTGCTTCCACTTATACATGTGTTCTCCTCTCACCTTTTACCCTTGCTCCTCCACCTCCTGTGCTAGGCAAGTTTCTGTGGTGCAAAACAAATTTCTAGGAAAGTAGAGAACAGCTTTGCATAATCTCAATGAAACAGAACGACCCAGCACCTTTTCTTCAGTTGTAAGGAAACCCAAGATAATAGTGAGCATAAATAAACAGGGCAAGGCTCTTGAAATATGTTCGTCAAAGGTTTATAATTCTTATTATATCTATCACATAATTGTGAATTAATTTTAATAATTTATATGGAACACTCATGGCACAGTAACCTTTACTCCATGGAAACAAGCTTCATTAGACCTTGGAAGTCAGGAGCAGGGTTTTCTTTTATTTTTTTATAAAAATGGTATCAAAGCCTATTTTAGGAGCCTTTGTATCATTCAACACCATAATCACGACTCTGCAGCTCCTTAAAAATGGTGTTAAAACTTGCCTGTCGATATCAGCTAAACAGGTGGTGAGCAGTACTGTCTGCACTCTTCGTCTACACAAAAACATGCTCGTGTTATTGTCACCTCCTCCCCATTCCCTTCCCACCTGTTTGTCTCATCTGCCTTGTTTTGTGAGTGCTGTTGGCCTGCACTCGTAAACCCGGTGTGGCAGGAACTTTTCATTATACGAGCATGCAGCACCTAACGCAACAGATCACAATCTGTGACTAAGGCCTACAGGAACTACTCCCAATACAAATAAGACTAAGAAAACTTCAGGGCCGTTCTTCACCTGTTTCATAAAGATAAAATCTGCCTTCAGATGAGCAACCTTCCCTTATTTAAACAGGTGTGATCTAGAGTCTCAGTATTGTAAGTTAAGTCAAAACAGCATGTACCTTAACCAGTATATCAGCAGTCATTGTACACAGAAATATTCCATGATGCATAGGCATGATTTTTTGAGGTGTATAACTTGATTACAGCAACATTGTGGGGTGTTACAGGGGTGTAGGTTGTAGCCGTGTTGGTCTAAGGACATAGGCAGACAAGGTTCTTTGGGTGAATTGATATCTTTTATTAGACAACTTGTGGGGTGTTGTCTTTCAAGAATAAACTTTATCCTGTATTTTTCACATAGCTATCCCTGAATTTTCTTGAAACAGAGGAACCATAATTAAACTTAATCTAACCGTGAATCTTCAGTGATATATGCCTAGAGATATTTATGCCTTAAATAGTAAAAGTTTTCAGCCAGATCTTATACTGCCATAAATCAGCATCACTCCTGTTATTCCTAGGGGGCTATGCCAATTTACACTAGTTTTGTTATAGATTATGGGCTAGATCCTCATCAATTCACACCAAGATATTCAGCTATTGAAAATATTTATTGCTTTAGTACCTAGCCCCAGTGTGCTAGGCATTTTAAATGTGTTTAATGAAAAACATTTCCCATCCTCATAAATTTTAAAATAGCTAAGTAAATATGCACAGTACAAAAACACAGGGAGAGAATTCATAACCATTTATTAATGCTACTGTCCTGGAGGTTTCGCTTTATTATGCTGCAAAATGCTTTTGAAATGCTAAACTAAAGAAAAGCTAAACTCCATGACAAAGGCAGAAGAGACTATAGGTGATGGCATACAACGTTTCTATTTGTGCCGGCTTCTATTCTCATTTTATAAAGATTTTAATGTCACCGTCCATTATCTGTGTGGGATTTATTTTAAGCTGACATGCTCCTGGCCTCATGAATTTGCAATGCATTTTCCAATTAGTAGTGCATTTTGTGAATGGCAAGGACTAGGTTTATTTTTGCAGCTGGGAGGGGATCAGGGACTCCGAGGGCGACCCTTTCAAAGCTGAAAGAAAGCAGCGTGAGTTCTGAATTAATATTTTATGAAATCTAAAGGTATTAGAGCACTGTGTCTGATTCAAGAACACAATGATCTTGCAGCAAACATTTGAGGATACCAGAGAAAGTATTCTAGATTTCCAAAATATTAAACCAGTCAAAACAGTCATGGGAATGGGGGCTTCCATTTGTTAAACAAAACGACCTACAAAAACCAAGACAATACTCTTTTAAATACTCTTTTCCCTTTTAAAAAAGGGTTCAAGACAATACTCCCCAAATAATAGGTGTAGTTGTGGTGATTTATTGCTGGGTTGCACATTCATGATGTTATGGTCATAACACGAGTTTTAGGCTATTGGAATAGCACCATTTACATCGGGCATAGATTTCACCCAAACAAGATGTCTAAGAGTCTCTCGAATGGGGACACTCAAATTGAAGGGGCTGTGAGAGGAGGATGGCTTTCACTAGAGTAAATGTGAACATAAATGTTTTCATAAAAGGTTTGGTTTGGTTTTATTTCCAGGAAAACAATGTGATTATTTAGGTATGCCCTGTCTTGTTACAAACCAAAATGTAGCAAAACTGTCCTCCTTCAGGGGAAGCAAAGGGTGAAACTCACTCATCTACTTCCAGTTTAGGAATACGCTTCAGCACATGCTTCACTGTATCCTAAAAAGTGATTTTTTTCCTGAATTGGAACCTAAGTAATAGGCTTAAAGCATCCAGGTAACTTATAAAAGCCATTACATTTGATTTATCTGCTTGTATCAATAGACTAAAATATCCTTAGTAACATAAGCAAAGGCTGTTTAAAAGGAATATATTTGATATCTTTTATGTTGCTTCGGTCTCTTCCATTGCACTAGACAAACCATGCCAACTGATCTCAATATGTTAGAAATATTAATCATCATAAAACTGCAATGAAAATTAAGGCATAATAAATTGCACAACTCAGAAAAGATATCAGAGTTCACAAACCCATTTCCCCCACTCCTCCAGCTTTCCCACAGCTAACCTAGGTGCTTTATCAGTGTAGGCCATAACAGAAGATAACTTTCCAGTTGGGAAGGCGATGCGACTTGTCCATCATCTGAACCCTTCTGGTTGCCCTTGCAGTTTGTGCCTCTCCAGCAGACTCCTTCCCACTCGCAGCACAGCTCTGTGGGCTTGCCTCGACCTCCTGACCTGTGAGAGAGAAATGAAAAATGTTTCCCTTTTAAACAAGGGTTCAAAAAAGTTTTTAAGTGGACGCATCTAGAAATTAAAAGGGAACCAGAAAAGGAGCATTTAAATTGAATGCATCTCAGGAAGAAATATCTTGCAAGTGAAAAGTGTTTTAGAGCAGCTGTCCGAGGGAAGTGGCAGAACGAATACGTATCGTTTGAGAAGCCGGGCTTGACAAAATACGGGAGAACGTGCTCTTGGCGTAACCCTGTGCTGCAATCCAAAAGACAGGTGGAGCTTTTCCTTCTCTAAACTCTAGGCACTATTTGCTTGACTTTCCCATTTTCCCCCAAACGTTTCCCATTTGGTGCTACATCAAATCCATTAGTATAGTAATTTCGTAATTTCTATGTAGTAATATATAGTATAGTATAGTCTATATAGTAATTTCATACAGTCATTTCTGTAATGCACACCTGGTTTCCATCAGGCCACCTGAGGAGTTTTTTCTTTCATCTCAGCTGGTTTTGACCAGCCCCAAAATTTGACCCATGCAGTCCAGGTAGGCAAAACTCGACTTCACGTATAAGTCAATGCAGCATTGGGAAACACGGCTTATAACCAACCGCACGTGACTTCAGTAACGTAAGAGGTCATTACTGCCTAAGTCTCCAAATGAGGTCCCGCAAATTGGGGGGAGGGAGACGCGTTGACACACGTTCAGGGACGGGGCGGGAAAGCGGTGAGGAGGGGAGTTAAAAACAATAAATACCAAGGGAGGTGTTTGAAGGCCCGGCTGGGCCGGTGGTTGCACCTGCACCCCTGTGTGAGTTGAGAAATGCACATCTCCCCAGGCCCCTTGCCACCCTCGTTTTCTATGATCCCCTCCCCCCCAAGCCCCGCAATGATGAGACCGGCAGGAGGTTTGAGCCGCTGCAGCGGTCGTCCAAGCAAGCCAGCGTGGCCTGGAAATGACAGGCGTGCTTCGTTTTCCTTTTAGGTCAGGATTGTCTGCTCTTCTTTAGTATCTGGGGTCACATTGTGACGATCGGGATCGATTTCATATCCGGGGTCACATTGTGATGATCAGGTTTGATTTTTGTATCCGGGGTTACATGGTGATGATCGGGATTGATTTCGTATCCGGGGTCACGTTGTGACGATCGGGATTGATTTTTATATCTGGGGTCATGTTGTGACGATCGGGATCGATTTCGTATCTGTGGTCACATGGTGACAATTGGGATCGATTTTTATATCTGGGGTCACATGGTGACGATCGGGATCGATTTCGTATCTGGGGTCACATGGTGACAATCAGGTTTGATTTTTATATCTGGGGTCACATGGTGATGATCGGGATCGATTTCGTATCTGGGGTCACATGGTGACAATCAGGTTTGATTTTTATATCCGGGGTCACATGGTGACGATCGGGATCGATTTCGTATCCGGGGTCACGTTGTGACAGTTGGGATCGATTTTTATATCTGGGGTCATGTTGTGACGATCGGGATCAATTTCATATCTGGGGTCACATGGTGACAATCAGGTTTGATTTTTATATCTGGGGTCACATGGTGACGATCGGGATCGATTTCGTATCTGGGGTCACATGGTGACGATGGGCATTGTGCCCCAGGATGAAGTGACCCCCTTAGGACTTTAACTGCGGGGAGGTGGAAAAGATCTGTGGAAGGATGAGTAAGAACCATAATTGACACTAAAATTGTATCTCACACCTGCTGGGTTATGTAGTTACTTCTGTATTTCTTGACTCTTTAAAGAGTAGTGATGTAAAACTGCTTTCTTCAAATGTTAATTTAGGCCTCCGCAGATGGTAACCATCTGTTAAATGACTAGCAATTTAAAATATTTGATTAGCACTTTATATAGCTTGGATGGACCTACTGTTAGCAATATATAAGTGTACTTGTAGGGGGAAATTTGCTAGATCTTGTTCTTTTTCTGTTACTGTTCTGTTCGTGGTAAATCTCCAAGCTATCAATATTTTTGCATGCCTTCTGTTTTATTTATACATAGTGTTTAAAGTTGGAACTTGAAGCTTGCAAACCAATTGTACCTGAAGCTGTTGGAACACCATTAGAAATCAAACTGAACTCATGTAACCACCAAAGCGATAAAAATAAAAGCCCTACGCCTTCAATATCACCTGTGTGGGTGGGACCCTGCGTTTATTGTAATGATTTTTAATATTAAATTATAATAGCGAAAACCGTTATGTCTATTTATGCACTGATTAATGACAACTGCCTTTCAAACCATTTGGTTCTCAATAGCCTTAGAAAGTTCATTATCCATTTCAACGGCGGGGTTCATGTCCATTTTATAGATGGGATTCTCTTTCAGTCCCACCAATAAAATGAGGATTTGGACATTGATAGATGAAGGATGTTACCTAACTACAAAACAAATAAACAAATCATTGTACTAATCCTGTCTTTTCCTTCTAAGTACTTCCAAGTTTCTGCTGTTGAATTTTAAGTTTACCAGCCGTGATGCTTTCTTTGTAAAATTTGCCTTGTTTCACTTTGTACGGTGTGCATTTCTCAGCTCTGTAACAGCAGCTTGTGATTGTTTTTTAACAGCTGAATACACAGCATGACAATGGCTCCATTACCAGGAGCTGAATTAGTTCAGAAGCCTTTACAGTTGTACCGCTACCTGCTTCGATGCTGTAGACAACTTCCTGAAGAAAATATCCGCCAGCATTACAGACATGCCATCAGACAAGTAGGGAGAAACCTTGTTTTCAATGGGGAAACATGTAATGGTTTCTGCATCTCTAATTTTTTTGCATTGTCAAAGTTTAATGCTACTTGTAATGGATTAACACTTGGTAGTGGAAGAACTGGTTTTCCACAGCCTTGAAGAGACATGATAACGGCTAAAAGGATCTTACCATTAAAAAAAAAAAATCCTCTTTTGTATGGTTAGTAACACACACAGATTATTTAAACTAGAAAAATGTTTTAAATCACCTTTCCATCTCTCGTGTTTCTCTTGGGGTTTGATTGAAGCCTTGTTTGTACCAGCAAAATGACTGTACAAAGACTATTTGTTCTTCATAACAGTTGTAGTGCTCGGAGATGTTCCAAATGGTTTACATGTAAGGAACATGCTCTCTCATAAGAATTACTTTGCAGGGCTAGGTACCAGTTTGATCTGAACTGCTCTAGTGCCAGTGTGGATGCAGTAGTTCTTGGAAAGGATTCTGTGTTGGAAATTGTGTTCTTAACATAAATCATCCATTGTTACCATGGGGCATCTATACACACGCTCCAGGGTGGAGGCAGAAGCGCTTTAATTAGAGCCTCTCTGAGAGCTGCTTTAATTAAAGCACCCGCAGTGCCATGTGTATTTGGCATCCCACGCTTCACAATAGCAGCAGGGGCACTGAAGCTAAAGCTTGTTCAATGAGCTTTAGTTCAAGTGCCCCCACTGCCATTTTGAAGTGCAGGGACTCTGACTAGATGTGACAGGGAGGCTGCTGGAGTGTGTTAATTAATCGAGTCTGCTCTGTGTGCTAATTAGCATGTATTGGAACAGATGTTTGGCACATGTATAGGTGCCCATGAGCACTAACAACTGTTTTCCACCTGGTACAAAATTAGACTTAAGATGACTTTTAAAGTTAAGTTTGTGTTTCACTGTTGTTCTGAATTAGTTCTCTTTTATTCACTTTGTTGACACAAATTGCTGCATAACCCCCTGCTCTGCTAATAGGTGGAATAGATTCGAATACTTAGTGTGACACCATGTGTAGTAATGCCCTTTATGAACATACCTCAGCTAGTTTACTTATTTCTGCCTTGTCAGATTATCTGCTCGTTTTTCATCTTATGCTTATTTCAGGATTTTAAAACAACTGTTATTTTAGTACCATCTGAACAGCTGTTTCATTAACTGGATTAGTCATTTTCATTTTAACACCGTAGAGTTTCAAAGTTCATGAGGATGAAGACAGTCCCGAAAGAATCCAACAAATTATTAAAAGAGCCGTTGAAGATGCTGACTGGGTCATGAATAAAGTAAGTGCATTGGATACAAGCCTTGTCCCGTAGCATGCATTTTAGTTAATTCAGTTCAGAGGTTATCATGTTGCAAAGCAAATGTGACTTATGTTCCTCTGCACTGGATTTGAGATCTGGGTGAAGGGAATGCCATAGGAAGTAGGCATGATAATAATGATGGTGATTTTTATCAAAAACAACTCATGCGGTGTGGGGGGAATGGCTGAGGAAAGCTGAATATGAATCAATGAATGAGAACCACAAAGATTGTAATGCCTGGTTTCTGATGGGGATTATTTTGGATTGCACTAGTTGGTGGCAGCAGTAAATACAGCTACTCAAGTATATGGAAAAAAAAAAAGACAAGAACCTTCTGTACTGCAAAGATAAATGATGAGACCTGTCAACCCCCTCCCCAGCAATATCCCAGTCACCTGTAACTGGTGTACACAACTTTCCAGAATGCTTTTCTCATGTGTCAGGCCAGTGCTCCTTTGATCAGGGTTAGACAACATAGTAGTAAAACTGTCAGAATCAGTTGACACTAGCTATCGCCAGTGGAACTGCATCTGCTTTAGTTCAGCAATGGGAAACTGCCTTCAAAGTCTCACTATAAGTAAGGCCACACAGATATGTCATGTTCTGTCCAGGGAAAATAAGAGTTGTTGCTTGAAAGGTAAGTTGGATTCTTACATGAGGGAATGCCAATCTCTTGTGATTCATTAAGTCATGTGTTCAGCTGACTTCAAAACGATATTATTTGACTTTTAAAAGGCTTTGGAAAATCACTCTACTAGCTGGAGAATCCAAATGAGAGTTAACATGGGAGCACCCAAAAATTACTCACAGAATCCAAATCCCAGCAGTGTTAGCCTGGTTCTCACTCACTAGTATGAGTGCCTACCTCATTGTTTTCACTGTGATTTAAAGGGCTTATTTCTGTTCTTGAACAGAGATTTCAGACAGCCACAGGTGAATTACTCCAGATTTAAAACTAAGAAAAAGAAAAGTTAGGCCTATCACATCCATGAAGAAAAATGTCACATTTTGTATATTCTAGAGGAGAAGTGTCTTGTGTTTTGCTGAGGTTTTTTCTCCTCCTGGGAAACAAACAAAAAAAAAAAGCATAACACGGATCATAAAGTAAATACGAAATGTTAGTAGAATTTTTCTGTATGAATTGTTACTTTATATGGAGCTTCTCTTACAAATAATATGTTTTTTGGGTTGTTGTTTTTTTGTTTTTGTTTTTGTTTTTTTTTTGCAGTATAAAAAACAAAAGTAGAAAGAGAAGAATGCAGAGATGATTCTCATCAGTACAGATACTAAGACGGAATAGGAGCAAATAAGTCCAGTTGTTGGTAATGGTGCCTGCAACTTACCTGCACATAAAAAAGGTGTGATATTCTGCCTTGCTTAGGGTGTCATGTGATTTAATTCCTTTTTGAAGCCTTTCATCTACCAGTTTTGCATAGTTCAGAAACAAGGACAAGATTTTAGTATTTATAATTGCAAATCTTGGCTCAAGATCAAAACTACCCCAGAGTTTGAAATGGGGAAAGAGGTTTCAGATCTGAGCTTCTGGCTTGGTT